GATTTCAATATAAAATTGACTAATAAATAATTCTCATTTAACAAACTTTTAGGTTGTATATCAACATATACATTTAATCTATCCCTCTTTCTTTCAGATATTTGCCTACTTTCGCATGCAACCAAGTTTTCCAATGAATACAGACTATAATAAAGAATCAATCAAAATGTCAGATTCAAATACTCAAGCTGCTTGGTATGAACTACTTCCACCAACACCAGTCCTCAATGGACAAGAACAAGACTTCGAAAACAACAAGCTGCAACTGAAGAAGAAAAAATGTCATGGTAATCGGCGACTCCAACGTTTCAGAAAGAGATGTCGAGCACGAGGAATGAATGATCAAACAATAAAAATGTTATTGACCATGCATTCAACAGACAATTCCGTTCATCAAGCTAATCAAGAAACAGACAAAGATAAAGATATGGATGATTCTTTTGCAATGAATATCAACAATGATGTACAAGTAGGAAAGTTCTATGAATATCAGGTACGATGAAATTATGAATGAAAACAATCACAATTTTTTGATTTTCTATAGAATCAATATCAGAGTTCACCATCTAGAAGAACACATCAAAAGAGTACGGATCATTGGAAACAGTTATGCAAACTCTTACCAAATTATAAGAACTTGTCTCATCGTAAATTCAAATATTTACTTTCCAATGTTATTCCTACTTATCGTCAGCAAATTCAACAATACTTAGCAAACACTGAAATGTTACAATTCGTTCAACAACTTACTCAATTATTGTGTACCTTCTTTCAATTGAAAATCGAAGAAGCCTATTGGAATTATATTGCCGATTTGAATCTACCTATAATGACATGGTTATCAAATATATCTAAAGATGTCACACTACAAAATTCTATCAATTGGGATCATTCAAAAACAAAACAAAATATCCAAAATCGACAAAACATCATTCAAAATAAATTACAAGAAATGGCAATTAATTTATACAATCATTTACAACGATATTCATCAAGTTTAGGAATGGACAATAAAATAGCTTTTGAACAATCGATCAATATCATACAAAATCCTCTTCTTCTTCTCATAGAAAAGGATTTACATAGATTCCGTACCAATTTTGAACAGAAGATAATCTTATTGTCATACGATATCAATGATGCACATCTTGTCAAATCATTCTATGATTTAAATCCAATCCAAGAACAGGTAAATATTTTCTTTAGCCAACATTTCTCTTATTTTTCTTCTAATAGATGGAATGTGCTCAACAAATTTGGCGATCAAAATTAAAAGTATGTAAGAAGATGATTATTCAAAACAAGAAATATGTGTCAATGACTGATCAAGTTAACGTTAAAGGAATCATTCAAAGTAGTAGTTCAATCATCAACACGAGACAACATGAACTCGACATTGATAGTAAGGATCAAGAGAACCAATTCATATCAATGGAATACTTTGCCCCTTCAATGCGTGCTATTATTAAAGCTCGTCTCGACAATATCGAACAACGTGCTCAACAAATTATAAAGTTCATTGATGTTTCGTCTCAATCATAACGATCTATTCTTTATTCAATATGCCACTGACTCTATCATTCTCTTTAATTGAATTTTAACCAAAAATTGTAGAATGTAGTTATATCTTAATACATCATTCATTTTCTTTTTGTCATGTTTCACAGTTTGCGTTTCGAGTAGTATCCC